GCCAAGACCGAACAAGATATGGGAACGTGGTGTCCAACCGCTTGATCCATCCTGGCAGATCCAAGACCACTTCAGGATACAAAGTGGTAGCTACAGAAACCAAAAAGAGATCATTTCTCTGGAAGAATGGAAAGAAAATCACAAAACATGTCGGAGGGAAAAAATGCTTACGCTGTGTGTTCCACTTCTTCGGGAAAGGCATCCTCCCGGCCAAAATGATGTCCGAGGTCGTCACCCAGACGAACCTACTCATCCACCCTCGATCCTTCTCCTCGTCGATGCTCGAGAAAAATGATTTTTTGGATCGGTGATGAAGCCTAATCAAACCTCGATAGAATCAAGGGTTGTACAACGTAATCAGATGGTCGAAGGTAAAGGTCTCACCCTCGACCCCATCGAAGAAATGGCAGAGCATCAAGACTATCCTCCAGAAAGAAGGATAGATTTGACCAAGCGTCACTTGATACTTGTCACAGAAATCGAGGATAATCGGATATATCTCTAGAGGAGGGGATTTAGAGGGATTGACAGGACCCAAAGTGAATGGGTAAGTATATATATGAAGGAAGCCAGCCTTGTGATCCGTTATATTTTCATCAGGGCTGGGAATCTCCACCTCTACTGCCTCCCTCCATCGGCAGTCTTTCTTCACCGTCCCTATGTTGGTCATGACACTAATGTATCGGGACATGTGTTCGCATCGACCCGGTGTGGATGAAGTTTTATCGATGGTAAAGTCCTTCGACATATTAAACTCGGTGGGAGTACATTGTCCCAATGTGGGTATCACTTTGGGTTTACCTTTAGATGTTCGAGATGAAGAAGTAGCCTCGTCTTTCCGAGGAACCGTCTTGGAAGTTCTAGCCATGATGATGGTGAAATTTCTCTAAGAAAGTAAGAAGAAAGGATGCCAGTAGGGATGGCATGTATGACTTTGCAAATCTGAAGTAGTTGGGAAAGTAAGAATTATCCAACAATTGGTGCATTTATAGGAGCCGTGTGGAAAGCGGAAGGGATGAACTAGTAGCGGTTCGTGGGCTTCTTGATAGTCGCATTTGACGGCGACCCTTGCATGGTTTTTTGGGCATGGCATTTAATGCTCTGATAGGCTGACGTCACAACGATGATGCCCTCAGAATAGAAGATCATAATTGTTTCTTATCGCTTCTCTCTAAGAAATGCGGGGACTATCTGTATATGGAAAAATCGGAGGGTCCAATTCCTCATCATCGAGGCACCTCAAATGATCGTCTCAAAGGCTCGAGGCACCTCAGATGATCGTCACGAAGGCTCGACGCTGCAAGCTTATGGTCGAGTTTTCTCCCTCAAAGTTCGTCGACGCTCGACCTAAGGACAATGCTGGCCACGTCTGTGATAGAGGTGGGAAGTTCCCAAGGTATACGGCTAGGACTAACAGAGCCTAGTGGACTACCCTAGCCCTGAATCAGGGTGTCATCTAGCTGTCCCATCCCCTTATCTTTGTAATTAATGCACTTTGTACTATGTTGGGATTCCCCTCTTATATAAAAGGGATCCTTGTCATTTTGTAAACCTTCTGCTATTGCTTCAGTTGCTCCACATGAAATATACAAGAACATCCTCTTTTGCTCTCTAACATATTCTCTTGATATTATTGCTTCCATTTGTTATCTTCATTATTGTTCTTCATTTATTGCTTATCGTTGGCCATAAAGAGCCTCTGTTGATTTTATTATAACTGTTAGCCATACTTCGACCACCTTCGATAGCTCCCAGCCGAGCTTCAGAATCGACCTCGAGGCCCTGAATCGACAAGCTCAAGGCCCCAATAATTGACTCGTAGGTTTGGTTATCACCATATCCTTAACTCTTATTCCGTTTCTTAGTCTCACACACATAGCATCAACTGCTTAACAACTAGCATAAAAATAAATCACGTATTTTTAGAATCCCATAATCAAGTTTTATTGTTATTACCATTTTCACGGTAAATATCTTTATCTTGTTTTCCATTGCGTGTGGTGTTTCTTTATCATTTTAATTGATTCCAAGTGGTGACTTTAGAAATCTTATATTTCTTGATAAAGAACACGTTTCTTGATATAAATTTGTTTTTTTTTATTATCATAGGATCATAACTTTCCTTGAACTGGTATATCATCAATATTTACTTGTTTTGAAAGAGTAAATAGTCTTTCTTATAGTTCATATTGTCATCTTTCACCTCGTTTTTGAATCATCAGATTCTGAGTCTTAAAACTTAAGATACACTATTTCTAAAAACCGACCCACAAACCACTTTTTCGTTTCATGATCTTGATCCTGGTCGGTTGGTTCTTTGTTAACTCAAAAAATATCAGAGCTATAACTCACAGGTCTACCTTGACGAATTTATCATGTCCAAAATTCAACCAAGAGGAGAATTCTTTGTTCAAGAAGATGAAGAAACGAGGCAACACAAATCTCTTTTCCACACTAGATGTACCTCCTATGGAAAAGTCTATTCGTTGATCATTGATCGTGGGAGTCACATAAATATCCTTTCTGAAGAGATGGTTACAAAACTTGGCTTGTCAACCAAACTTCATCCATATCCTTACAGCATCGAAGTTGAAGATAATGATGGTTTAGAGGTAACTCATCAATGCCTAGTCTCTTTTTCTATTGGTAAGATCTATAAAGACCCGATTTGGTGTGACGCAGTGAAGATGGATGCTTGTCACTTATTACTTGGAATACCATGGGTGTTTGATAGGTGTACTAAATATGATGAATACCTTAATACCTATTCTTTTATAAAGGATGAATGTAAGATTATTTTAGTACCATTAAATCCGGAAGAAATTGCTAAATATCTGAAGCTTACAGATGATTCTTTTCTGACCAAATTACAAATAATTGGTCCAATCAATAGAGAAAAGCCTTTGAACGTTGGTCCAATCAAGGAGGAGGCATGAAATGGATCTTCAAGTTGAGGATTTAGCTCCAAAGTTTGATGATGATCCATTAGAGAATCCCATATGTGAGATTAACTTTTCACCTAATAGAGATGATCAACATTATATTGATTTGATTGTTGATTCTATCCTTCCAAACGAGGCAACAAACTGCATCAATCCAGAAGTCCATGAAATTTTGCAAACACAAGAGGAAGGGTTGCTTAAAAAAGAGTCCATAATGGAGGGTTTGAGTTCATATTTTGTTCCAGTTTTTTTCTTGCCCCCAAGGATGAATATATTCAAGAATATGTAAGAGATATCAACACAAATTCCATCAATGGTTATGATCTAGTTAAATATAAGAGCATTGTTGCTGATGAATTCTCAAGAAAATATACTTCAATCTCTAAGTTTGATCCAAAAGTACTTGAATTTGATTCTTTTAAAGATTTGTGTGGTACTAAATCGACTTTTTGGGGCATATCTCATAAGTACTATATTGACATGAAGATTTCAGGATTCTTGAAGATCAAAAGAAAATAACTTATGGTTATGGGTTAGTGTTTAAAAATTGATTTAAGAGGATAATATTGGTACAAAGTTACTATTGAGAAAGTGGATTTTAGTTCAGCCATGTGTTAAGCTTTGTTACAACACGATAAAGCTTTTTGACAAGTTAGAAAAATACAACTTAGAGCATGGTAAATATGAGTTCAACCAAAGCATGGAAGTTTCCAAGCTTGTGCTATTTATGGAGCCTTTAGACTTGAGGACGTATCTTTTTCAATCAGGGGAGAATGATGTAAAAGAAGAATCTCTGTTAAATTTCATTAAATTTGGCCAAGATCATGTTTTAGAGCTCAAGTCCAAATAGATGGACTTAATTTCAAAAAAGCGTAAGAAGTCCATGAAGCTCAAGATTGATTTCAAGAAGCCAAGATTCTTTCCTTCTTAAAATAGGATTTATTTTATTCCTTTTAGAATAAGGATTTTCCTTTTAGTAGGATTCTAGTTTCTTTTCCTTGTAGAATGGGGATTTTACTTTTCTTGTCTTTAGTTATTTTATTTCCTTATTAGAATAGGAATTGTAGTCATCAAAAAAAGAGACCTCAGGCCTATATAAAGGGTTCTCATGCCTTTGTAGAGCAGAATTCACGTTTTTGAGCTTTACCCCAATTTGCAATAGAGTGTTTTTCTCTATTTTGTCTTCTTTATTCTTGTTTTTAGTTCCAAGCAAGGTGGTGATAGTCTTTATATTATTTTCAATTACGTGTGGTGTTTCGTTATCACGTTAATTGATTCTAAGTGGTGACTTTAGGAATCTTATAGTTCTTGATCATTCAAGAACACATTTCTTGATATAATTTTTTTTGTTATCATAGGATCATAACTTTCCTTGAACCGGTACATTATCAATATTTACTTGTTTTGAACGAGTAAATAGGCTTTCTTATAGTTCATATCGTCATCTTTCACCTCGTTTTTGAATCATCAGATTCCGAGTCTTAAAACTTGAGATACGCTGTTTCTTGAAACCGACCCACAAACCACAGTTTTGTTTCAAGATCTTGATCCTGGTCAGTTGATTCTTTGTTAACTCGAAAAATCACATCACAATTATAGATTATATTAATAATATCAACATAATATTTTAAACTTGTAAAAGAAAAAATACCTAATAAAGTAAAAGAAGGAAATTTACGTTCTAATAATTTTACAAAAATGGAGAATTTTTTTTTAAAAAAATAAGTCCACTTTCGTTTATTTCTTCCGTATCCGCCGAAAAAATGTACTACTTCTTGAACTGGTGGGTCCCATTTCAGGTCTATTTTGTCCCTAGATTAGACCTTTATCACATACTATTCTTTTATTTTTGAAGAAAAAAGGTACTTATATTAATAATAATAGTATCAAGCTAGGGTATGTGACCCATTGTATTGTCTTTAGTACATACGCCTCCAGGCACCAGAGATATGCCTTCTAAGATACTGTCATTGCCTAATGTAGCTACGTTACTACACACATTCATAGAATACGATCTAACATACATATGGCCATCTTGATCCTTGCAATAGGCATCCATTACAAAGATAGGAGGTAAGACAAATAACAAGGTTTATTATAACGAGGTTCCATTAGAGATTCTTTTGCCAACTGGTGTGCTACAATGTTCCCCTCACGAAAGCTATGCTTCATTGTGATCTCCCCTTGCTGGGTTGCCTTTTCCATTAACAACCTGCATTCATGAATTAAATCATTATAAGTTGGATAATCGTCATAAATGAAGCGTATGATCTCCGTGGCATTTGTTTCAACTTCAACTGGGAATATGTTTTCCTTGATAATTATTTGAAGTGCATGCCGTAATGCTTGGAGTTCTGCCTGAATAGGAGATGTTGTGGGATACTTCTCATAATAGCCCAGTTTACAGTCACCTTTATTGTTGGGAATTATTCCACTAATTCCTCTATGGAGGCAGCTATTGTCAAAGACCCCATCAAAATTGAGCTTATACCAATTCCTTGGAGGATCCTGCCACTTAACTTTGAGTTTGAATTTAATATTATTAGTAGTAGGCCTGGATGTTATCAAGTGGTATTCCAATGCTTGGTTAAGAACTTTATTTGTGTTGATGTACTTGCTAGTATTATTCACGTTGTTTTCATTTCTGTTTTGCCAAATAGCCCATAATGCGAAGGAAAAAGTTTCTTCCCATGTGATGAATTTATTGATTTTTTTAGGGTTCCTAGTTCGAAGAAAATCTACCCAGTGTTCATTGTCCCTTTGATGAGTGATGGCCACCCCATGGTTTGCCAAAAAGATTGAGCAACCGTACATTCCCAGAAGATGTGCATTATGGACTCATTTGTATTTTCGCATATTGGGCAGTTAATGTCGATATTAGTACCAATTTTTCCAAGGTATTCTCTAGTGGGAAGATGTGTGTGGTAGCACTTCCATAGGAAGAACTTGATTTTTCTCGGGCACTTGGCACCCTAGATCCAATTGAAATTATGATTTAAGGATGGTTGTTTATCAATTAATTTATAACAAGAAGTGGTGGTGAATACCCACTAGGGTTTATACTCCAGATGAGGTTATTGGCATGTGTAGGATATGAGGTTGGGATTAAGGAGTTGATGCTTGCAATAATACTTTGAGGAAGCTCAAAGGAGATTTTTGTTAGGTCTCATTTATTGTTTTCCCGAATGTCTTTGATTTTTAAACAATCCTCATTATAGGTAAGGGGACCAATAATATTATCTCTTAGGTTGGTGAAATTTGGGATCCAATTAGGGTCCTAAATATTCATGCTTGAGTGCTTATCGACTGACCACCTAATTCTTTGTTTACAGATAGTCCAACCTCTTAATAGGTTTTTTCAGGTATTAGAGCAACCATAAGTTCTACTAATATGGCCATATAAACTAATGAGAAGATGAGCCCAGAGGCATGACGGGTTATTAAGAGTTCTCCAAGCAAGGCTATCTAGTAGGACTAAATTTTTAGATTTTACTTTCTAAATGCTTAGGCCCCCAACTTTTTTTGTGTTAGTAACTATGTTCCACCCAATTAGGTGAAGTTTTTTCTTATCTCCAGTAGTCCCCTATAGGAAGTCTCTCTGGATCTTGTCAATTTTCTTTAGAGTTTTATTTGGAAGTAGGGATAATTGCATTAGGTGGTTTGGGACTGTGTTGAGAGTAGAAGTTATTAAAGTGCACCTTCCCGCCATACTTATCCACTTAGCATTCCAATTGTTTAATCTTTCCCGTATTTTATCAATTATGGGTTGATAGTCTTTATACCTAGGGTGGTGTTAAAGCATTGGAAAACCTAGGTAAGTACCAAATGATTTACTAATTTTTATATCAAAGGTGTTCTTGGCCATTGTTATTTTCTCATCAGTGCAAGACTTTGACACTAATATTTTAGATTTATCTTTGTTGATATTTAGCCCGAAGAGGTAGTAAAAACTCTCCATGCTTCTCCACATTGTTGTGATAGTTTTAGTGTTTGCACGACCCATTAATGTTAGGTCATCTACGAAAAAAAGTGTGACAAGGGGGGACATATTTTATTAAGCTTAATGGGGTCCCAATTTTGAATATCCACTTGGTGTTAGATATTTTTTGATAACATGTCCATGCATAAGATGAAAAGATAAGGAGACATGGGGTCACCCTATCGAATGCCCCTTGTGGGAGAAAATTCCTCCATTTTATTACCATTTACTAATATGGAGATTGTACTAGTTGTTATACAGCTAAGGATTAGGGAATATATATTAGGAGGAAAGTTAAAAAATCTTAGAGTTCTGTAAACATAAAACCACTCTAATTTGTCAAAAGCCTTTTCCAGGTCAAGCTTGCGGATGCAATTTTGCTTTCCTTTATGAGCGTTAAACCTTTTTAACACTTCTTGGATAATGATAGCATTATCACTAGCTCGTCTATCTTTAACAAAGCTTGCTTGTTGATTATTAATAAGATGTTTTAGGAAGGGCTTAATGCAATTGGCAATGACTTTAGTAACAACCTTGTACAAAGTGTTGCATAGGCTGATAGGCCTAAAGGTTTTTAATTGATTAGCATTACTGAATTTGGGGATTAAGCATAAGTATGTTTTGTTAATTTCATGAGGCATAAACCTTGTCTCAAAGATTTTATAGCAAAGATTTATGACCTTACTACCTAGCATAGGCCATATGTGACGACCCGGCCGGCCGTATTAAGAATTTACGCCCCGATCCCCCATTAACTGCTTTTCCCGAGTTTATTCTGCTATTTTAATTTGCTAGGATATTCGGTTTTGAATTTCTGAGATTTTTCGGACACTTAGCCCATAAATGAAAGCTTAAATGTTGGAAAGTTGACCGTAGTTATAACAATGTAAAGACGGCCTCGGAATAGAAATCCGATAATCCCATTAGCTCTATTAGATGATTTTGGGATTAGGAGCGTGTTCGGATTGTGTTTTGGAGGTCCATAGCTAATTTAGGCTTGAAATGCCGAAAGTTGAATTATTGAAGTTTCCGGTCCGATAGTGAGATTTTGATCCGAGGATCGGAATGGAATTTCGGAAGTTGGAGTATCTCCGTAGTATTGAATGTGACGTGTGTGCAAAATTTCAGGTCATTCGGACGAGGTTTGGTAGACTTTTTGATCAAAAGCGTATTTTTAGAATTCTTAGGCTTGAATCCGATGAAAAATAGGTGTTTTGATATTTTTTTGAGCGTTCCGAAGGTTGGAACAAGTTTGAATGATGTTTTAGGGTTGGTTGGCAAGTTTGGTTGAGGTCCCGAGGCCCTTGGGTGTGTTTCGGATGCTCAACGGGTCATTTTGGAACTTGTAGAATTGCAGAAAAATCTGGTATCCGGTTTCTTTAATCGCGTTCGCGACCTTCCCTTCCCGTTCGCGTAGTGTAGTTTCAGAGGGTGATTAAATTGTTCTTCGCGATCACATTATTTGGTTCTCGATCGCTGAAGTCTGCCCCCTCCTCCTTCGCATTCGCATCCCTCATTTCGCGTTCGCGTAGTAAAACTAGGAGCCGGGGGTATAGTGACCTTTTTTCCCTTTGTGTCTGTATTGTTTTGTCCGCGAACACGTAAGCCTGCCCTTTTCTTCTTCGCGTTCGCATGCTCCATCTTGCATTCACGTAGCCTAGTTTAGGAGCCATCAATTTTTACTCTTCGCGATCGCAAGTCACCTTTCGCGATCGCGATGAACAAAACACCTGGGCAGATTTTTAAAACCCAAAATCGAGGGTTTGAGCCATAATTCATATTTTGGACTTGGGAGCTCGGGAGATTGTGATTTTTGAAGAGATTTTTTACCTGGGCGATTTGGGTAAGTGATTCCTACTCAGTTTAGACTAATTTCCATGAACCTACACCTAAATCCATCCTTTAATTTTGAAATTTTGGTGGAAATTGGGGGAAAAGTTCTTAGATCAAGAAATTGAGTTTTGATTGGGGATTTGACATCGGATTTGGATAATTTTGGTATGGTTAGACTCGTGAGAGTGTGAGGATTCTGAAACTATAAATTTTACCAAATTCCGAGACGTGGGCCTGAGGGGCATTTTCGTCATTTTACCTAAATATCTTGTATTAGCATAGAATGTATTTGTAGAATCAGTTACTTGAAGTTTTATTTACGTTATGAAATTGAATTGAATAGATTTGGGTTATTTGTAGTCGAGTACTCGTGGCAAGAGCGTGGTTTCGGATTGATTATTGAGCCGGTTCGAGGTAAGTGGCTTGTCTAACCTTGTGTGGGGGACTTTCTCCTTAGGATTGGTATTGTGATAATTGAAATATCTTGTACGTGAGGTGACGAGTGCATACTTGTTCTAATTGTTGAAAATTCAGTTTTCATTAAGTAACTTTTATTGCGTTTTCCCTTTCTATTTATGTTACTTGCATCATTAAACCTGCTGTTAGTTAGGGAAACATGTCTAATTGACTTAATTGCTTTATTTGCTTTAACTGCCTTATTTGTATTATGTGAAACATGCTAGGTTAAAATTTTCTGTGTTACCTTGTTATGAAGTTGAGATTATTTGAGTATTCCTTGTGCATGGTTGTGTGTTTTACTTTGGGACTACGGGACGACATTCTGAGAGATCCCTGTCACACCTCCTTTTTCCGCACCCGATAGGGTACAAGGGAGTTTTTCCAATTAAAGGACAATCGAAAGGGGATTTATTTATTTATTTCAGAGTCGCCACTTGGGAGATTTAGGGTGTCCCAAGTCACCAATTTTAATCCCGAATCAAGGAAAAGAATGACTCCATATTACAGTCTGCGTACCAGAAATCTAGATAAGGAATTTTGTTAACTCGGGAGAAGGTGTTAGGCATTCCCGAGTTCCGTGGTTCTAGCACGGTCGCTCAA